GCGAGCCAGAGTGTATCTTTGATCACAGTATCGACAACCTGTCCCGACAAAGTTTCGAAGCGTATCCCATTGATCCACAACTTGATGCATAAGTCCAAAGTTAGTTTCGGCTTATGCCTCAAAAGGTTATGCATCTTCATAAGTTAGTACGGGCAGGATGCCTGAGTGGGCGGTTTTTCTGACTGCTCTTGTTGATACATCGGCACTTGTCGGGCAACGCGCATAATATGACGCCTTCCTGATCTTCTTGAAAACAGCTTCTATACAGGCCGCCCTTTGAATTTTAAAGACGGCACCACGGCCAGGTATTTGTCCACACTTCTTTTTCGCAGAGTTTCACCAGTGAGGTATGTTCTTATCTGTATCTATTGAAGCGTCATGCTCCGAGTATTCCGCATCAAGAATAAGTACTTGACTGACCTAGAATGGTGCAAGACGAAACCAAGATCATGTATACATGTATATCAACATAGAATAACATCTCCAATATTTGAAATAATCAGTTTATATCTTCGAAAGTTCGTTTTATTGCTGTAGCAGACGCAAATTTCAACTTTATTTTCGCATTCTTTTGATTCATGCTACACATTTTGAAATAAACCTGTCCTAGTGTGAATAAGCATGGCAGTGCCTCTCATCAGTTAAGGATTTAAATCGAATTCAAGAATTAGATGGCAAAACGGCCCGTCATCCAAACAAACGACACAAAGTTTGACATAACTAACAGGTAGTGTACCAATTGTGAGATACAAGAATTTTGAAGATCTTAGCCTCAGATTACAAATCTGTCGTGCATTCATCAATGTGTTCTATCTGTTTCAATAGTGAATAAAAAATAACTTTAATGATGCAAAGTAAATCTTTTCTGCAAGACTTTTAATCAGAGAAGATTTTAAACGGAACACCTTCACATACAGATGTTATGTATTCAGTCACTTTTTTATTTAAAAGCTAAATTTGTGAGTGTAGATTTCCGGACTTTTGGATTAATGCAAATATAGAAAATTATGTCAAACCAGTGTCTCGTTCCTTTTGAAAGATGCCGCATAGGAAAGACTATTTGTTACAATTAATATTATGAACGCCTTCAAACAGTTATGAATTGTCATAAATTAAGACCCTATAACTGTTCCTGGCGTTAATTTGTACTGATGATGTGATAATATTTTGATTAAATAAATGTCAGGCATCGACAGGTGAAATTAAATCGTCAAAACACCATTACTGCGTGATTGCAACCGAATAAGCTGTTCTGTGTCGCAATTCAAAAATTCTTGATTTGTGTATTTAAACTACATGAATGAGCGAAACAAAAATTAGCAAAAATTGATATGAACATAATTTTTCAAAGTTTTGCCGTTGTTCAGTAAAGTCCACAATGCTTTCAATGACATTTAATCTTAACAAACGCTAGAAAAGCGCAGTGGTTCGACTCACAAATTTTGATTTTTCTCGGGCATAACTCTGGCAAGTACGTTGCAAAATTTCCTCATATCCAGTACGAAGCTACAATAGGAATAGTGTAAGTCATGGGAAGATTTTCAGGAAAAACAGAATTTCAATTACTAATCAGCAAGCAAAGTTCACAGTAGACTTTCGTCGTTTGCGCGCTGAAATATGATGTTTTTGAATATAAATACTGAATAAGAAATGTATTAGTGAGAAGCACGAGCTTGTTATAAAATTTACCCATAATTACGTAAATACCGACCACTAGAATAAAGTCATTTCAATTTGCAAAAATGTTTTGCCATAATATCTTAGCAAAAGTTGCATAATCTTTTCACTTCCCATTATGGATTAAAACCTGTTTTACATTGCTTCACTCCTACACTTTTGCTTTAAATTTATTAATTTGATTCATACTTTAATTGCTATCACATTTTTCATTTTTCGGTTATTCATGTTGGTTTTCAAATTTAAAGCTTGTTGTTCTTGAAAGGATGAACGGAAATAACAAAAATTAGTCAGTACTGTATCAGTAACAAAAATTCATGAAAATAATTCTCTGTTCAGAATGATGATATAGTAACTTTCAACTCTGATTCACATTTTACACTATACTTCGGCCTTCTTCATTGTTGAAACCTGTCAAACTGCCTAGAAGATGATTTCTTTGGTGTCATCACTTATATTTTCGATTCAGCTAGGTCAATATCTTCTCTCGACGCAGTTTATGAATTGTCATGCTTGATGCGAAAGATAGGATTTCTTTGGATTATTCAGGCTTTGCTCCGGTTCTGTTTAAATTCGCAGTTTAAATATTATATTCTCTTAGAGATTTTTAAACCTTTAGATGAACGGTTTACTCTTGGACATGTGGCATAACAGCGTCATTCTCAAATTCTGCATTTTTTCTAGCCAAAACCACCAACGATTAGATTGCCTCAACCATTGCCGCATTTCTATTATAAAATTGCCCATTCTGATTATTTGCAAAATTCTAGCTGACTTTACAGCTAAACTAAGTATCCGCTTGTACTTCCACTATCCATAACCAACTTGTGATTGCGTTTTGCAATACCTCGTCTAATTCCAGAACCAACATTATTCGGCTACCAATTCTGCTATCATTTGCATGAATATACAAGGAAAGGCCTATTTTTCCTGATTTTTCCCATTAATGTGAGCTTTTCACTCATCACTGTTCATCAACGAAATTTCTCCAATTTAATCTTTCCGATGGTAGGGAATACTGAGTTGAAAACGGTGTTTTGACTGAAAATCAACATTCAATTTGTTCAAAACGTTGGCAAGACCGCACTAGCGGAGCACATTTCTGTTGTTTTCCGCCCGTTCAGTCGATACACAATGAAAATAGGCTATCGTATTCTGTACACTGACACAGCGTTTTTATTTACCAGTGTGGACTGTTTACATGAAACTGATTAGAAGGCTTGTATATGAGAAGTAAAATCAAATTAAGTAAATTTGACCAATATTTGGTGGTAGTTGGCCCATCATTTAGTTATGAACTTGTCCAATATTATGATGGGTACTTATCATGCTTGCAAAGCGGTTTTAATCTTTTAAAATATCTTCATAGTTATCCTGCTTTACAAATCCCAATGGGGTTTTTCATCGGAGAACAATGATATTGTGTGTGCCAATTGCTACAATTATTGCTATAATTAGAGATAAGAACACAGTGTAAGATTTTTAAAGTTTCATAATTCTGAAAAAGGTAACTTTCTACGCCTTAAACTCTTTGTTGTCGGTTAATATCGGTACAAAGCAAGTTGAATCCTTTCGTATTGGAATGTTTATCGTATTCAGTAATTTAATCATTACCACTTTTTACTTCTGTCAATCATAAGGCTTCGTTAACTCAAACGTTAAACTTACAATAGTAGCCAACAGGTAGCCTTTATACGTCCTGAACATGAAAGCAACGAACTTGTTGCATGCCGCATGTTTACAATCGACTCAAGTTGTAGTAGAGTGAAATACACTGGGTTATCTTTTTTTCCCATCAGTATGGTACTAGAGCTTGGTTTATAATAGACAGAGGGTAAAACATTTTCGTGCAGGATTAAGGTTTGGTCTGATGTTGACAGCTTTCAATTGCAAGCAATAAACTGTAGTACGGTCGGACATGATCGTTAAGATGCAATTAAAGTTACTCCTTTTTGGAAGTATACGTAAGTTTCGCCATGGCGAAAGATATTAACTCGCTAAACTCTTCGAAAATACACACACAAGCTCTTAGTTTAATCGACTGAAGTGAGACGTGGTTTGAAACCTCAAATCAAATACTTTAATAGGTGATGCTTTCGGAAC